AACTTAATGAGGAATATGTAAAAAGTTTGGACCTTACAGTCATTAAGTTATAACTTAGAAATTCTGGAATATGTAAAAAGTTTGGACCTTACAGTCATTAAGTTGTAACCTATAACTTCTGGAATATGTAACAAAGTAACTAGAAATTCTATATCTACCAGTGGTTAGTGCTACATACCATTATTTCTACCAGTGGTTAGTGTTACATACCATTATATCTACCAGTGGTTAGTATTTTATACAATTATATGCACCAGTTTTTAAGTTTTGGAAGGTCAATATAAAGTAAAAACATTAAATGTCCAGATAAAACTTGTCATTCTAATGTTGCTCCAAGTTTGTTATTTTACGTGGGTCATTCTGTGAAATACAGAAATGAAAAAAGTTTAAATTATTTAATTTGCTCGTCCGCATACTCCCGTCTAGCGTGGAATGTATTTCTTTGGTTCAATGGATATGGCAATCATTCACCATTCTGGTGTACTGAATTTTGTGGATCAGTTAAATTACGTCACTTCCGTTAAGCAGCAGATACATGTAGTAACAACTGAAATGGCTGCCAAACCCAGATCATTTTTTTGATTAATCACCCAATTAAATTTGATCATTGGAGGTTCTACTTGGGTTACATTTTCAAATTCCATTCAACTTGGTTCAGGCAGTTCCTCACAAGAACTTGTGATGTCAAGAAGAAAGCTAATTCTGAAAGCTACTGGTTAACAGTCTTATTCCTAATTGTAGTTACTGTTCAGAAGGAAGGCAGGCTGTTAACAGAACGTACTGCCACAAGGGTTTTGAAATAAATAATGGGACTAATTGTCACTCTTATAGCATGCCTGCAGCTGAAAGTGCAGTATGAACTTAGCCTTGGATCCACACTGTCACACACTAACTTCTAGGCTATCACTCAACCCATCTAATCCCAGTCTTTCAAAATTTCATCATTGTCTGAGTGTTAATGAGCTCTTCAGAGTCTATGTGATGTTAAAAAAATGTTATTTGATGGTGAAGTAGTTTATGTGTGCATTCTATTGTTATTTCAATGTTTCTTGCCTTACGTTGGCTATCATTTGGACATGTTTCTTTAAGATCATTGAAAATATGAAAGCTTCTTTGCACATGTGTATACAAACAAAATTCCATCTCCCTCATGTAATGATGGTTATATGTGTTTGAAATCCATTTGTTAGTTCCACAGATTTTTAATTTCAAACAGATAGTACACTATGTATTTAGATTTTGTTACAGCAACTCTTTCAGATGTTTTCAAATTCTTCTTTTTCTAGGTTGCTGATGAAGTAGAAGACAGAACAAAAGGTGGTAATAAAAATACACTTCGTATAGCCTTGGGCATTTCCATTGCTATAGTTGCTGTGTGTCTACTCATAGGGATTGTTATTTTGTGTTTAAAGAAAAGGGCAAACAAACCTAAACCAATCTAAGTGTTTCTGTCTTTTTTCATCACTGTGATTTTTTGTTTTTAGAAAGATATTTTCTATAAAATTGTGTTTCAGTTTGAAATTATTAAAGAAATTTCCCTCAGAAGACCTATCTCATGCAATAACTGTTTGTTTTAGAGCAAAGCCACATTCAGCTATCTGCTATATTCACTGCAGGGAATTAAACTTCAAATTTTGGTGTTGCAAGTCAATAATCTTACTGCTTTTCCTCTTATTAAAATCTTATGAGTAAATTCTGATTGAAACATGTAACGAGAACTGATTATTAGATCAATAAAATCTTACAAAAACTGAATAAATTCTGATTGAAAAATGTTATGAGAACTGATGTATAAACAGCCAAAATATCACAAATACTAAATAAGTTCTAATTAAAACACGTAATGAGAATTAATGATTAAATAGCAAAAATCTAATAAAACTGAGTGAATTCTGATTGAAACACAAACGAATAATGAGAACTGATCATAAATATTGGGGTATGTTCATGTACACAAGTTTCCTTTAGAGCAAAATATAGCATCCAACTAACAGGAGTTCCGATAAATACTATATCACAGAGCAATGGTCTGTTACTTTCTGAATTCTGACTGTGTTCGTCACAAAGAAAGCGTCAACACACAAAAATGCAAAACCACAATTTAAGCACAAATGGTGGACCTTACATTCGTTATGTTGTCAGTTAATGGTATGTAACACTAACCACTGG